TGCAAGGGAAAGTTCTCAGTGGAGCATTTATGTTTTTACAGCTCTCCCCCCCTAACCTCTGGAGGGGGGTCCCTTTTGCGGGGGTGGAGGTAAAGTGAAAGCCAGGTAGACATCACAATGGGAACGTAGGGAGGGTTATGGTTAGGAGCTGTGGGCCGTGGTGGAGATCGGCGACGGTGGAGGCATATTGGGGAATCAGTGATGACGACTCCTGGATCAGATATGGCAACCGCACGACGGCGAGCCGGGGGAGTAGCGCTGGTGATGCGGTGGTGGCTCATCGGAGGATCGGTGATTGTGGCGAGCTGGAGGATTGGCTACAGCAAGGGTGTGATAGTGAGTCGGGGGCGTGGCGACGGTTATGCCGAGACGGAGGAGCGGCTACGGCGTGTGTCCGGGTGAGGCTCTTTTGGGCTGGTGTGTAAGAGAGGGTGGAAGGAAAATCTTATTCAGAGTGACGGTGTTGGGGCTGCAGTGTAATCTGCAGGGCCTCCTGCGACTGACCCTTCACGGGGCGCAGTGCGGAATTAGAACAGACAGCTTTTGTTTTGTTAAAATGCCCGTGACCCCAAAGGCCCGTAACTGGAGCCGCGGGAGGAAGGTGCACCTGAGGACACCGTCATCTCGTCATCATCCTCCTCCTCTGCATTTATTCAACACTGCCTGTCTGCCGCTGACCTTTCTCACTTACCAGTGAAAGCTGGACCCGATACGGCATTCCCATGATGTGCACCTCTCCAGATCATGGAAATCTCCACCTTCTGTCAGGCGGTGGTGTTGAGGGACAAGCCCGGGGAACTTAGCAGTTAGCAGTTTAATGCGAAGAAACTGAAGTGGTTTGGAGGAGCTTTTTCAAGAAGCGGGCCAGGATGCGTCATCTCAGTGGTTACGGCATGGGAGGGCTACTCAGTGGGGGTTGATACACTAAGAGTTCTTCCTTACCTGGTGGTATCTCCAGAGCTGCTGGCTGACAATCTGGCTGCTGTACATCCACAGTATCAGACCCGGCTGTTGGGATGGGTCTCTGTGATCGCCTTGAAATCGCAGACCTGTCTGATTGGTTATATCATGTAAACGTTCAAACTGCAGGATGTTGTCCCTCCTCCATGCCTTCCGACATTTATGCCACTGATTTGGTGGGAATGGGGGTGGTGCGTCTGAGCTTGAGAGCTGAGAATACTCTCCCCGCAGCCTCCCTGCCATGTACAGTGTGAGTCAGTCACTTAAGATCCTAAACTTGTTTCCACAGTCCAGTCTCTCGCGCAGCCTGCAATGCTGAAAATGAGGTGCTGGATTTAGGGATTTCACCTTGTCCATCATCTCAATCCAGGGTTAATTAGGAAATCTGTCTATAATTTCTCCCGTGGGAGTCCTGGGTTCAGAAATTTGCTAAACTTTGATTAGTACTTTTTGGGCTCCTTTCCATTGCACCAAGTATGGTACTTTTGGTACGGTACTTTCATTTTTCCCATTAACTTCCGGTCGGGTACCCGTACCAGAGGATCCAGTACCGAAAGTACCAAACCAGCTGGGGTACTACTTTGGTACTTTGGAGTGAGACTTGAAACACTTTCTTTGTCGATTGGTTATGCAAATAACCTGCTGCTGAAACACAATACAAACGCTGCCTTGAAAACAGTAGATAACTCAGAAAATAATGATAGACAAAGTTAAAAAAGAAATGTGATTTGGTCCTAAGAACATATGTAACAAAAAGATCCGGGTGGCATGACAAAACAAAAGGATGAGAAAGTATTTTCTTGAATATGCTAATTCCGCATGGTGATAAATGTTTGGGTATTTATAAAACAAAGCTCATAAATTTTTCACAAACCTGTCTTCAGGTGATTTAAACGGCAAGGATGAAAATGATTACAATTGTCTCGGAGAACGCATGCAGCGCTCATGCAGAAGCAGCGGAGGTAAACTTTAAACTGATTTTTAAACATTTAAGGATCTATACAAGGAATAATAATTAAAATTGCAAAGCTTCCTATGTTTTTTTTTTTTTCTATGACAGTAAAAATATTTCAGCGAAACTTTAACCCCCAGCGCTATAATGTCCATACAAAATTTAAAGTAAGAAAAAGCCTCATTTCAATATAGCCGACTAGCAGTGTAAGAATTGTATGTGCATAACATGCGATGTTGGTATTAACGTCGCACGTCGTCCAGTCCTCCTACAGCCATTTTTTGAATTCAGTACAAAATACCCCGCCCCGGTTGTGATGTCATTCGGCGCCGGTACAAGTTTTTACACCAGTGGAAAACTAACACCTTGAAGTGCCGTACTTTCGGTACTTTCTCCAAGTCGAAAAACACCCTTTGACGGGTTAGTGTCAGTGCGGCTATTGGGGTTCCTGTACCTTCTAGCCAGTAGGTGGCGCCAGCCCAGTCCCAATTGCTGACAGGTTTAATGCTTTGCTGCCCTGGCCCTCTGAGACACATCTTACCATCATGCACCTGGCTTCCTCGTTAGCGCAGCATTTGAGAGGGAGCAGACATCACTCTTCCAGAAAGTGGGGGGGGGGGGTATTGGGCCACCAGTCATAACGTGCAGCACAGGAAGTCGCCACCCTGCTGCCGAGTTCCAGTAATAATGCTCAGGCAGCAGCGTGTGTCCACAACCGTGCCAGAGAACCTCTGGGCCAATTCTTTGGAAGGAGGGCTGGAGCCGGGCATCGAGTGGTTGGGGGCCAGCGAGGGGCATCCAGATTAAGAGCGGGTACTGGCCACAGAGGTCACCAAAGAGCTGCGGTGACTGTTATTTAATAACCAGCTTATATTCCAATAATTTACATAATGCAGCAAAGCGGCAAATATTATTGTGGTTAATTTAATTTCGATGTTGAACTTCCATAACGATAACAGTTAAACACAAGGCCAGTTGATCTGGAAGGGTTTTAAGGTAGTGTAATATATAGTTATTTTTTTTTACCGTTTTTTGTTTTGTGTGTCTGTACAGCAGCACTATGTTTCTGGTTATGAGAGAATAGGACTTTTTCTGTCCAAGTCTAGGGCCCCCTGCTGGCCAGCTGTGGCAATGTGTCGCCTGTTACTTGCGAATTGTGTGAGGTCTCTGACTGCAGGGAGTCAAATAGCATCTTTTCTAGGGCTGGGGGCCCCCTCTATTTTCGCTAGCTTTGCTGCCCTGCTATGTCCGTCACAGCTGAAGGGATAGATTTTTCTGGGTGAGAGGGGGGTAGTTGCTGCTGTTTCAAAGCTTGCCTTTATGTCCCCTGGCTGCATCCATAGCAAAACATTGCACAATGGGCCCGCTGTTTGTGTGGGAGAAAGCCACGGCGTCCTGTGTCAATCATTTGTGGAAGCGCGCGATTGATGTGGGCGCCAAATCACTTCCTGGGGCCCTTTCTCCTAAATGTTCCCGTTTCCTTTTCCCGCGGCCGGCGTTTCCGCAGAGTGTCTTCGGCCTCAAGTGCGAGTAGCAGCATCTCATGTGATGGATAACTAACACTCTTCAAGTCGCGGGCTGCTGAAGAAACAGTCACTGTGGCAGCAGAGTAGAAGCCCTCTTGCTAGAATTTTGGACACTTGCTGACTGGGGTTTAAGAAACAGCTCTGTCTGTGAGACCCTGTGGGGGCGGAGCTTAGGTTTGTCAGTCTGTGGGGGCGGGGCCTGGATCTCAGTTTGTGGAGCTCTGTGGGGGCGGGGCCTGGATCTCAGTTTGTGGAGCTCTGTGGGGGCGGGGCCT